CAGCCTCCCAGACTTGCTGGGAAGCCCATGCTTGGGTTTTTCTGGAGGTGTTACAGAACAGGTACCATCCATCAGATCAGAATGTGGCCCAGGGTGATTGAGTCACGTGATCCAGAGCCTGACAGGTGAGGCTAAAATTCCAGTCCTCTAATCGTGATGTTCCCCTGCCCTGTTCCTCATCCTTCTGGGCTCTTAAAAGGCTAACTTGTCTACATAAACTCAGAGTTGGCTGAAAGGGGCTTGTTAAGTGTAATAACAGCGGCTCCTTTCAACTTAGGGAATCCCAAGGATTTTAGGAGCTCTGGTCAAGAATCCAGGAACGAAAGCCGAGCAGATGCTTCCTGTTGTATCCCAATGTTGCAGCATCGTGTGGCTGAATCAAGCTTTAGTTCTCAAAGAACAAAGAAATTATTTGAGAGTGACCAAAAAAGTCATTTTAGGGAAGATAGGGCTCATATAGATTTGGGTACCTACAAAGAAACTATTTGCAGTCTACTATCAGAAGACAAGTTTATAACAAATTTTAAGATTTTAATTGGCTTCAGTTTAGAATTCGAGAACCAGGGAGCACTTCATTCTGTGACATGCTGTGAATGTTCCAGTGAACTGGACAGAGAGGTTTGGTTTTATAGACAGAAGGTGGAGAAAAGCAGAAATGAGAGTCAAAACCAGATTGCTCACTTCACCGTTACTTTCCTTGTGAAAGTTTAAGCAGTGGGAACTCCATCATACCCACCAAAGCTGGTTTGTTTGGAATTTGCCAAAACCATATCTCTCACTTCCCTGATCTCTCGGAAGTGAGGCAAGCATCAAAGAGCTTCAGCTCGGTGACACCATGGGACGTTACATGAGCGACACCGTTTGTGTTTGGACAGCTGGGCCTGATGGGAGCTCAGGCCAATCCAGTGACTTCTAGAAATTCTGTTTCACGTGAGTAATTTAAAAACTAATTTCCAGCTTTTTATTTCTTTTTAAATTAACAAAGATATGTTGTCGTATGCCTTTTTTAAAGGGCTGGATAGTTTTGTGAATGAGGGACAATGAAGAATTTAGGCTCTGAAGTTGATTATCTGGGTACAAATCCCAGCTCCTTCGCTTGGTAGAAAGGGTGACCCACAAGTATTTGTGATTTAGCTGCAAGTGAACAGTATCTGTAGTTCCTACAACACTGGGTGGTTGAAGCATGATCCAGTATTTACCCAGTATTACACCTTTCAGCAAATTCTTGTTATATTGTCATCATCATCACTGAAATCAGAACCCTTTGTGACTAGGGTGAAAGTTTTCGGTAAATGGATATCGTATAAGTCATTAGTTCTATTTTTGTGTCAGCAACAAGAAGTATCATACTTTATGGAATCATTTTATTCAATGCATTCTGTTTCTATATCGCTTTAAACTTCTGGAATAGCTCAGTCATTCCAAAATTACAGCATCCAAATATTTCCATGGTAGTCTTTTCCTGCAAAGGCAAGTGCAAATTCCTGTAAATTTCCATGTTCTGCTTTTATGTTGAAAGTATAATTCAGCCTTGGCACCTTGGCACACCTTCCATGTGCCCCTCCTGGGCCCTTGCCAGTCTCCTTCTGGGTCAAAATTCCAGCTCTTACTGATGAGACAACTTTGCCCACGTATCATTTATTTGATTGTTCAAAAATTCAGGCCAATTTCGTGCGCTAAAAAAGCTGACAATGTTGGACCTTTGTCCAGAAGCTAGTAGAAATAAAGCAAGTCCCAACAGAATAGTCACAAAGAAACAATTCAAGGGAGACTGTGAGATGTTCCTAAGGAGATATATTCTTTATTCAAGACCAGGTTCAGACCTTTCCTGCTATCTTATCTTGGCTCAATTCTCTCAGGCTTGTCTCTGCCCATATCTGAGGCTGTGGCAGTGCTCTCCTGATGGCCTTTGCCATGTTGTAACTGGTCTACTTGCAAGTCGAACCCCTTCTCTCTTTCCGCTGACCTTGTGGGGACCTCACTAGCAGAGAGGAGCAGAGTCTACTGCTCACTTGGGAGGGGACTGGAAACTAAACTGCATGGATGAAGCCACTGAGATGTGAGGGATCTGTTATCTGTTATCACAGCATCTCTTCTCTCCAGACTGACACACAATGGATGGCTGTATCGTCCCTTCAGGCAGGAAGCTGTGTGCATCCATGCATATACACTCAGGTTTTAATCACTGACAAACCCTTGGATTCCTCGTAGGAATAGGTTTTGTCAAGGATTGACAAACCTTTGAGTTCCTCATAGTTAAAGCTAGAGGGCTGCACCACAGCGATGCTAAGCCGCTAAGTTCTGTTTCTGTGCATGTGAATGATCGATAACCACCTTGCAGGTCAACACTCGCATTTAAGAGCCTACAGATCTTGAGCTATAAATTTTAAAAAGAAAAGAAAAGGTCACAGTCACTACAAATCCAGGGGGGGAATCTCATTCATACTTCACTGCCACATTTTATAGTTCCTTTTCCAGGACACTTTCCTCTGTGATTAAGGGTTAGGGTTAGGGTTAGGAATACAGTGAGCTCTATCCAATTGTTTTGCTCTTCTGAATTATCTGGTGAATAAAGACTTGCTCTGCCACACTCAACCTCCTAGGAAAACTCATATGGTAGAGACAGGAGCTCTTCGGTGGAGCCTGTATATTATAGAGCATCACTGGAGATACAACAGCTACTGAGAAGCTGAGACTGTGGGGCAGCCAAATGGACAAGTCTAATCTGGGGGCAGACACATCTGTAAATTCAAGGCTGATGTTAAGGCCCATCAACTGCAATGGTCTCTGCCACATAGTTCTCTGGGTAATTCAAGGGGCTTACACCAGAGACTGGCAGCTTTGGAGCCAAGGTCAGGACTCCTCTAGATGCGTGGATGAAAAGGAAAAGATCCAGGGACTTGCTTTCTGCTGACTCTCCTCCTGTGAGTGAAATGGGTGTCTCGCCGGAAGTGGTCTCACAGGAAAGTGATCTCACCAGAAGGGGTGCTCAAGTTCTGAGTTCCTGCCCTGCTCCTTGACTTATTCATTAGGAGAGAGAGAGCCGGAGGCAAGAGCAGCTGAGCTGTCCCCTGCCTGCTTGTGTTGTCACAGTGAACACAGATCACATCAACACAGATCCTAGAATCCTAGAACAGATGCCAACTTCTCACTTGAGTCACCTAAAGATCAATCGCAGATAGACTGAGGAGTCCAGGCCCTGGCCTCTGCCTTTCTCACCACACCAGGATTAATCAGCCAGGACTGCACACAGATGATGTGCTCTGAAGTGAGTTAGAACAATGTCTCTCCCGTTTCTCTGCTCTGTGTCACCGTCAGAGGAAGCTGTATTTGGATTTCATTTCTCCTGGGAATGGGAGCCAGGGCCTGGTGCATGCTGGGAAAGTGCTTACTACAGGGTAGGCTGCCCATAAACTGCCTCCTCATAGGAGGCTCCCTTAGGAGCAGTTTTCTCTCTGGAAGCCCAGGCAGTTCCTTCATGAGCATGGCTCAGGTGGAGGCCTGTGAGCTGGGGGACCTCGAGGCTCCTGAGACACCTGAACTGCAGCTTGAGATCCCTGGCTGAGCCAGATTCCCATGGCTATCATCCCACGGTTGGCAGGATGATCCTGGGAAGTGTATGGGACACAGGGTTCATCTTTTGGTTGCATATTATTTTTAAAGGAGCCATTATTTTGCTCCCTTGTAATTAAAAAAAAAAGACTTCTTTCTACATTTTTCTATTGCAGTGAGGAAAATCCTTTGATAATGGGTTTATATCTCAGTGTCTTAATTACAGATGTACCCTGGAGCCTGGGAGAAAGAATAGAGCTCCCTGCCTGTGTTAGTCAGGTCCGGCTGCTGCCTCAGGCTTGGTGGCTTACACAGTGATGTTTATTTTTCATAGCTCCGGAGACTGGGAAGTCCAAGATCAAAATACCAAGAGGCTCTATGATGGTGCTGGCTCCTTCTGCTTTGCAGGATGGTGGCTTTCTCACTGTGCCCACACTTGGTGGGGATTGGGATGGGATCGGGGTGATCCTGAGGGTGGTGATGTTGAGGTCGTGGAACCTTTTTACAAGGTGGCCTCAGTGGAAGGTGATGAGGTCCCTGGAAGGTGCCTATCACGAGCAGGGTAATGCTGGTCTCACCAAGTGTTGGGTCTGGGAAAACTGAGTCATTCCCATGGAATGGCTTGTCATAAGCAGAGTGGGCCCAGACAGTCCTGACCTTTTATTTCCTGTCTACCATGTGGACTTTCTTCCCTCTCATTCATGCCCCTACCATCTGTCATGTTGTGATGTAGCCACAAAACCCACACTAGAGCCAATAAGATGCTAGTACCATGCTCTTGGACCTCCATAACTATGAGCAAAATAAACCTGCTACATGAAGATTTGGGTGTTTCATTACAGAAACAAAAAATGGACCAATTTGCATGGTCAAGAGCAGAAAGATAGGAAGCAAGTTCTTAGTGTCCCCTCCTGTGAAGACTCTAATCCCAGCCCCAGAGCTCCATCCTCATGGCCCATTATCTCCTAACGAGAGGCTTGTGGAGCCCTTTAAAGACACTCAGTATCAGTCTCCACAAGACCCTTCATGGGACGTTTTACGGCAGAGGAGGAAGATGAAGCTCAGCAAGTTTTAGCAATTTTTGCAAGGATGCTCCGAAAAGCCTGAGGGGACCACATGCCAGATCCCACTGGTTCCCACAGGGCCAGGTCGGTTGGCGCCCTGCACAACCAGTGAGGTGCATGCCGTCGAACAGTGTGACAATCCCTGAAACAGTTGTGCATTCCACTCAGGGGTGCAGAGAGCAGGTTCCAAGCTTTGGGGACCATCGGGACCCGCCCCCCCGTGGCTCTTCCCGGCTGCTTCGGACCGGAGGGCAGTCACAGGATGGATGACTTGTTTCCCCCAGAGAAGTGGCAAGAGGAGGGAAGGTGAGAATCGCTTCATGATGTGTCTTATAAAGGAGAAGCCCTTGGAGATAGGCCCTCGGAACTTCCGAAATACCCCAGTCCAAGCCTTTGACCCTCCTGACCATTGAGGGGGAGGATGGAAGGAGCAGGATTCCACCGACGCCCTGCAGCGTCGGAATCGGGTCCCCAGCTGGTGCCTGGGCTGGCGAGGGAGGCCTGGTCCTCTTTGAGAAGTGGCTCTGGGGCTGCTGCGGGTGCCCTGTGGAGAGCGAGCCGTTCCGACTTCCTGTAAGGTGGTTCTCTGCGGCGGAAGCTGGTGAGGCGGGAAGCCACACGCTGGAAGGAAAACACGACTGCGTCTGTGTCTCGGAAGAAACCTTTATGCAAGAGGGAGTGAGGGGTTTGGCGTATAGAGAGGAGGCTGAGAAGACCGAGAGGAATGACCTTTAATCAGAAACCCAAACAAGAGCGTCCAACCTCGCTGGCCCATCTCTACTCCTCCGGGGCGTCTTGGCTCAGTCCCGCTGCTACACGGGGCCCTCTGCCTGGGACGCTTCCGGGCGACAAGAGTCAACCTCAAGACCCCTGTATGGCCCAGGTCACCTCCGCTCTCCACAGCCGTGTGAGTGTGGATTGCAAAGCCGACAGAAGACTCATGAACACAAACAGGAGTGCCACGGTGTCCCCTGGGAGAGCAGCGGCGGAGGAGGGACAGCCGAGAGCACAAGGACGCCCACTGCTGCTTCCTGGAGACCCCGCGGCAGCGTATGGTGGGTCGTGTTGCCCACTGCGCAGAGCAGGACCCCAAAGCCCCCCAGCAGAGCCCGCGCTGACTTGTGGAGCGTATTTCGACCTCACCCCCAGCAGCTGCTTCCAGGGACGAAGGTGGCCGACATCAGATGTCTGGCGGGACAGTGCTGTGTGCGGGGTAGGTGGGTATGGGAGAAGGACTCAGCCATTCTGGGTTCACCGCAAAGGGTCTGTGTCAGCACCAGGTGCTGTCCTGAGGTCCCGGGCAGGAGCTGCACCAGAAGTGGCCGCGCCTTTCTGCCCTGCTGGAGGCTGAGGGACCAGCTGAGTGGGTTCCAGGGAGCCCAAGATTTCAGAGAACTGGAATCCGTGAGTGCCTTTTCGTCCCTAGAAAGCCACTTCTTCCTGAGATTTTTCTCTCCAGAGTGAATGTTACATAAGAGCATTCTAGCCAAAAAATATTTAAACAGTTGTTTAAGATGACAGATGAACCGAGACTGACTTTATACAAATGTCAGCTCTCCACCCTGCGGGACTGTCCCTCAGCCCTGTCCAGCTGGGCACTGTCCCAAATGCCACACAGCTGCAAGAGTGGCCCATCCCATGAAATCCCACAGTAACAGTGACCTTGAAAAGGGCTTTTGACTTCAGTTTCTCTCCATTTCAAGGTCAGACAGCCCTGGCAAAAGACACCCACAAAAAGAAAATCATTAGATGCCCCAAGGGCTCCCCGATGGTCCTTCCTTTGCAGGGAAATAACTGCAGATGTTTGAGCCATCAGGGCTCAATGGCTGTGCTCCTTCTAACGAGTGCATGGGAGACCAGGTCACAGTGCTGGGAATGACCTTGGGACAGGTGAGATCTCAGCTGATCTCCGCAGAGGCCCCTTGTCAGGAGGGGACTTGAGTGTCTTTGCAGAGGGGTGCAGAGTGTGGCACCAAAAGCACGGCCCCATGCACCTCTTAATGTACAGATGTAGGGGCTGGAAGACAGTGCATAGGCTTGAATTTTCTAATCAGAACTAATCCCCGCAGGCATAGGCATTTGATACATCAAAGGCCTTCTCAGTAATTCCTTTGAGAAATTTTTTTAAAAAACTATGCTAATGAATGCAGGAGCTCTGTGGTTTTATAAACTTTTTATAACTTCATTTGATTGGTGCAGTATCTGCAGATGTGCTAAGATTTGGGTGGATCCAAGAAAACCAATTGCTCCAAAATACCTTCCCGACTGGGTTGCAACCCCGCTGTATTGAATCTTGGGTCAAGGACTTGAGAGTTCCATTAAGATGCACGCTGCCCCAGGTACAACGGATAAAGCACAGGGTCACCTGTTATTACATTAGAACGGACTCATTTGCCCAGTTTATGTATCCATCTCTTCGGTGGCACTGAAAGGATTGGGAGCCACAATAGATACCTCTGATGGGCTTACTTCAGCCGTGGAGGTTCATCACAGGGGCCTTTTGTTCCGGGGCTAAGGAGGAAACATCCAAAGGGAAAGGACCAAAGGACTGTAGAAGTGCATTGGCTCATTGGAAGCAAGTGGGTCCTGATTGTGATGTTCATCTTGTCAACTGGCTTTCAAGATTCCTAGGAGATTAACAAAGCACACTTTTATTGTGCCTGGTGGTCCTAGGTGCTTGACCTTGGGGACCACATCTGGTTCCTGGTCCCTACACCTAGGACCTTCCCCTGCTCTCGATTCCTAGCTGCCACCAGAGGAGCAACTTTCCTCCTCCATGCATTTCGTCCACGAGGATTCTGTCTTGAACTCAGCCGACCATGAACTGAAACCTCCAAAACCTTGAGCCCAAACAAACATTTCCTCCTTTCAGTTGTGTGTGTTGGGATTTGGCCACAGCGATGCAAAGCGGGCCAACACCCTGAGTCCACATTCACATGATTCTTGCTCTGGCTACTCCAAGAGAATGAGGCTGCGGAGGAGACCTACCTCGGCTTCACCGTGTCCTGAACCCTAACTGAGTGATGATTGCTGACCCCCTGGGCTTCCTGTGTACCTGTGTAAACCTTGTGTGACTCGAGTTCTGTGACACCACTTTCTTTTGTCCTTGTCCACTCACCTCCTGTCTTTGACCGGCTGAGCAAGTATGGACAAGTGCTGTACCAGGTCCAATGTGTGGCCTGAAGGACTCACTGAAAGGGTCTGTGGATGAACGTGTGTGGGCATCAGGTCTGGGCCACTTCGGTCCCCTTTCCATGCTGTCTTGAAGGGAATAAATGCCTTCTCTTTGCCAGTGAGGGCTTCTCAGCCAGCCTTCCGTTTCATGTAATGCATGCATGGATTTACTGAACTCTACTTTTGGCATAGGGCAAAAGCAAGAAGACGGTTCTGTGAAGATACAGGGCTTGCGAGTCTGGCATGTGCATGGCTGGTTCATCACCAGGTGGGCTTAGCCTGTGTGCTTCGGGGCAGGGCCACACTGGACATGGAGTGCATGGCTTGAGTCAGCTCAGCTGCTGTCTGGTTCACAGAGCTGCTGACCATGTATCTGACCACATTCAATCTTACAGGCCTTCTGAAGAGTTTTAAAATATGTATATTGAAGACTCAGAGATAAGATAGGGTCATCTCCTGATATTCACAGGGGGCTAGTTCTGAGGTATCCATGGATACTAAAATCCAAAAACCCTCAAGTCCTTCGTATGAAGTTGTATTATATTTGCACATAACCCCTGCATAACTTTTATATTTTACATTTTTTCTGGGTTGCTTACAATACTGAATATAAAGTAAATGCTCTGTGAATAATGCTTTGTACTCAGGGAATAATGACAAGAAAAAAGTTGGGACGTGTTGACTGCCCACAATTTTCCCACAAGTGTTGGTCTTGTTGAGTCTGTGGACACAAAGCCTAGGATATGGAGAGCCAGTGTACTCTGCATGTGAACCTGTGGAGAAAATGTGTCAGTGTAAAAGAGCACTGCAGCCCTTCCCGCTGACAGAACACACCCTGCACACATATCCCCGCCAGTACCGGGCTCCGCCACAGCCACAGATGACCACCAAGGCTCATTTGTGGCAGTTTTCACAAAAGCACTTTAATGAGCATACTCCTAGTAAAGATCCCTCTCCTATCTAAACACCGGGAGGCTGATGAAAGGCATAATTCTTCCCCCATTCACTTTTAGCAGCGTAGAGACAGAGAGCCCAGGAGGATCCCAGTCTGGGTCTTGTCAGTGTGCAAAATCTTGGTTCTCAGGCCTCATCCCTCCATGTGACTCTGACTGTAGGGTGCTCTAAGAGTCTCAGAAGCTTCCTGCATGCAGAGTGCATCAAAACCATGACGATCCTGACCTGTAGCATCCACAGAGAGCCACTTAGCTCCCAGAGAGGAATGCTGGCCTCTCGTTTCTGTGAAGACGACATGTTTTACTTTTCTTGATGCTTTTAATTTCTCATTGCAGCATATTCTTTCACACATAGTAATGTATTTGATCCATTATCATTTCAATGTGCTGCATTCCACTTCTGTCCTCTTCTTGCAAAGAGCTGGTCACCAAATTTATTTATGAAGGGAGAAAGTGTTCTTTATCAATGTACCCTCCATTCCCCTCAGTGTACTGAACACTCTGCCTTTGGTCTCTTGGTAGTAGCCAATGCTGTTTATTCTCCATCTCAACCCCATTTTCAAAACAACACATTTGCTACACGTGTCCACATTCTTCCCCACGTTTAATCATCGCTCTCCTTCTGCGTGAACGCCCTTCTTGCCCTTCTCTCCAGTGACATAAAGCTAAAAATGTGATTTGAAGCTCACTCTGGAAAGTAAGGACAGACAGTGAAAGGCATTTCTCATTTATCTGTCCTAGTAGGGCCTGCAGAGGCTTGGGGTAGGGATGCTCACGGAGTCAACACAAGACCTCTTGCTTGCCTATGCTGAGTAGTTTAACTATTTGAGCAGTCAGAATTATTCCACAGCCCATTCAGAAACTCCAAGGACCTAAGAGTGGCCTTTAAAATTATCCAAGAGCGCTGAACTTGAAAATGGAATAGTTCTGCAGAACTGACTATTGCTGACACACTGAATGGCTTATTTCAAATAGAAGTTTTAAGAATTTCATGGTCACTATTTTTCTTAGCATTTTTGTCTTAAAAGGAGGGAGTATGAATATTGCTAAATCCCTATGCTCCTATTTTAAGAACATGCACCAAAATGATTGCATTCACTTAATTGCTCCAAAATGACGAATAACGGCAAAATTGATTACCACTAACCAATAAAGTTTCTCACATCGTCATCAGACTCACTGACCACCATCCGCTCCTCTAGACCAGCAGAATGAAGACTTCAGTCACAGGGAAAGGAAAAAAAATCTGCTCTGACACATTTTTCTTTACTGCCACTGGGCCCTCCTAATCTTGATACTTAATTGGTTAATCCCAATTGACACTGACAATTGATGCTAAGTGACAGGCGGAGTAACAAAAATGTAAAGAAACCCTCCCTGGAGCAGCTCTTTACGAAGCAGATCAATGCCCAAGGAAACAGTGTTTCACGGAGCACCGTCCCCTCAGCCCCTAATTCATTGGTCTATGAAATTATTTTCTGTTCACTGAAGTCTCCATCCATATATTCCGTTGACAATTTACTGCCATCCAGATGAGTGTAAAGAAAGTAACTGAGACCTGGAGATTTTGTAATATTAAGTATCAAATTGTTCTTGCTGTTTATACCA